TCTGGGCAACTCAGCAAAACAGCAGCTCTGGTTATAACAGACTTTGGATATGACGGATTGTTTTGCCAGGTCTCTTGAAGTCCGTTATAACTGGAATTTACTGTAGTTCAATTTCATTATAATTGAACACTGTTGGCCTAGAGATGCAGAAAATGAAAATGGTAAGATGAGTTATAAAATATTTGAAAATACTGTATTGTTTTTTTTCTTGTGATCTTACCATACATACCTCTGGAGCTTCTTCCAGCAAGCATGTGGCATGAGGCAGTGGCCAGCCTGGATGGCAGAACATCACAGGGCTCACATATTGTTAGCAAGATGCAGCCGACATTAGAAAAGCGACTGAAAATGAGGCACCTGTCAGATCTCACCAAACCAGTTTTGTGTTCCTCTCAGAGGGCACTGAGGAGCACACTGACCTGTCCCGAGCCCTGGCTCTGATCCGGGAGGTGATCGTGGCCGTCGACCTGAAGGTCAGCGAGTACAACAAGGAGCAGAAGCTGCTGGACATCTTGAACCGCATGGAGAACAAGACTCTGGCTAAGCTGAAGAACGGCCATATCTTCCGCAAGCAGGACCTTCTCAACCAGACCAGGACATTGAAGCACGAGGGCTTGGTCTACTGGAAGACCGCAACTGGAAGACTCAAGGGTTGGCAGCAGAATTGGGAATTGTAGGATTGCTAGATTATAAGACTATTTTTAGAGGGATTTCTTATTCTTTGTATCTTTTCTTGCAGATATCCTGGCGCTTCTCCTCACGGACACTTTGATATTCCTCCAGGAGAAGGACCAGAAGTTCATTTTTGCTGCTGTAGTAAGTTTAGAATGAGAATGAAAACCTGAAGGTCACTCTGTAAATGACACATTTATCATGCCAGATGATCAACCTGTGCTGTTTCCTTTTCATTTGTCATGGATGGTGCTTTCAATCATGCATATGCATCTGCGGACCGAACTGCCAGTTAATCTGGACCCAGCTGATAATACACCTTATGGTGCATTAATATGGTATACGTGAAAAGGCTGAACATGGTTTGAAATACAAAAAGACTATGTAGAACCACCAAACTTCACACACACTTGCATCATAACCTGTCATAATCCCCCCCCAATGATAAAAAGTCGAAGCGATCAGAAAGCCTTAAGAAGTTCTCGCTTTTGTTTTATATTGGTGTCTATATGGAGGGGTACTGAGGGCTACTTCATTAAAGTTTGTGAAATGCTGTTTTGTTATTGATAATTGTTCTGGACCTCTGACTTCTCTCATGTGGGCCATGGGACCTCTGATCAAAAAGTTGAAGAGGCTGTGCTGTATGGCATCTCATGGCATCTCCTGAAATATGTGAACACGCTTGCCTCCCCCAGGACCAGAAGCCTCCGGTGATCTCCCTTCAGAAGCTCATAGTGAGGGAGGTGGCCAATGAAGAGAGAGGCATGTTTCTAATCAGCGCATCCGCCGCCGGCCCAGAGATGTACGAGGTGCACACGGCCTCCAAGGAGGAGCGCAACACCTGGATGAGGCTGATAAGGGAGGCGGTGGAGAGGTCAGTCAGGACTGACTCCGGCCTGTGTGGGCTGTGTGGGATACCACCATGGACTATACCTCTACAACAGGGGTGGGGAACCTGATCCATGGAGGGCCAGTGTGGGTGCAGGTTTCTGGAGTGACCTCTCAATCAGCCAATAACAGTAGGTCCCCAGGACTGGTGTTGAGAAGCACTGCTTTATTATTGGCTGATTGAGAGGTCATCCCAAAAACCTGCACCCACATCAGATCTCCATGGAACAGGTTCCCCACCCCTGCTCTACAACATGCTTCACTCCACTTAATGGTGCTGTGTTTGAACTGGTAGCTTGTCACATGTGCTTCGACAGTATGTCACTTCAGATTAAAAATCAAATTTGCAACATAAGTGCCCGTCAAACTGTTAAACAAACCTGTACCCAAAGTTGACGTTCTTGACTTGTTTGTTGCCCCAACCGTAAAAGCGCGGCGACAGCATGGGCGCGTGCGGAACACTGCACACATGTCAGCGGCAGAGTTTTTGTCCCGACACTCACCGCTCCTTCTTATACCACAGCTGCCCCGAGGAAGAGGAGGAAATCAACAGCGAGTGTGAGGAAGACAAGCGAGCTGCAGAAGCCCGTGCTCAAAAGATCCAGAAGCTGCAAGGTCGCGTCTCTTTGGATGTCTGTCGTTTGTCTTGGTCCTCGTGCTTCAACACACACCGCAGATGCCTCTCCATCACAGGCAGAGGAATAAATAGTATCCAGCTTTATTTATGTTCTAAACGCACTTTACTGTTGTCTTTGACCTGTATGGGGTCAACATGCATGGCTGTGCAGAGGTTTCAGATATTTTGACCCAACATTGGTCCTCTGCATCTTTATTCTTCACTCCGCTTTGTCTGTGGCCTTGAAATGAGAATGTGATCTGACCTGTTTGGCCACCACAAGGAGAATTCTGATGATGGGTAGATATTTTGAATTGATGTGATGTGACCATGTTGAGAATCCAAAGGCAATCAAGCAGAAACTTAACGTTAGATCTCCTGCACATATCCGTGCAGAGACGCTAAACTCACAGGACCAGCAGATATGCTCCAGCTTGGAGGAGAAGCTGAGGATTTACACGGAGCTGGCGAGAATGAACGTGAAGGAGGCCTCGCTGCCTGAGCCGCGGCTGCTCATCCCGGCCAACGCGGAAGAGGCACCACAGGCCGCGCCGCTGCTCACTGCTGCTCTCAGGGAGGGTGAGAGTCTCAGCCCCGGAGCTGCGCCCAGCACCTCTGCTGCTCCACTGATCTTCTTTATGTATTAGAAGACTGCTGAATTCCATTATGTGCATCTGTCTGTTTTCAAGTACTGTTTATCTAGTTGTGGTTCCATAGATATATTTGTCATGGTAGAAAACAAGTAGCTGGAGAACCTGTGCAATTTTTTTCAGACACGTATCTGGGGCCTGATTGTAAATCTCTGCATGCTGAGGTGAAATCACTGCCCATTTCTAAAATGCACTCTGACTGCATCCTCTTCCCAGCGGAGAAGCTGACCACCACTCTGACTTCCCGGTCTCGCTCGTCCGACAGCGGGTCCCAGGAGAGCTTGCCAGAGTCTGGTGGTCCCGTCAGCCTCGCCGATTCCACTGGCTCTGCAAGCATCCAGGGTTCCTCCTTGGAATGTGAGTCACATGTAGATTCCCTAGCCCAACCTTTCTGTTTTCAACTGTGCGCCTCTATTTGGTCAGTCGGCACAATGTGAACGTTCATGATTTGGGGTTTATTTTCTTATAAGACATGGACATATATATATATATATATATATAAGGACATGGATGAGTGAGTCTGGTGTGGAGGGACTTGACTGGCCTGCACAGAGCCCTGACCTCAACCCAATAGAACACCTTTGGGATGAATTAGAGTGGAGACTGCAAGTCAGACCTTCTCGTTCAACATCAGTGCCTGACCTCACAAATGCTCTCCTGGAAGAATGGCCAAAAATTCCCATAAACACACTCCTAAACCTTGTGGACAACCTTCCCAGAAGAGCTGAAGCTGTTACAGCTGCAAAGGGTGGGCCAACTCCATATTAAAGCCTGTGTATTAAGAATGGGATGTCATTAAAGTTCACGTGTCCAAAGGCAGGTGTCCCAATACTTTTGGAAATATAGTGTATGTGTGTGTGTGTGTGCGTGCGTAGGTATAGATAGATAGATAGATAGATAGATAGACAAATAAACCTACAGTATGATAAAAACAAAAATCCCATATGAACTTTCTTAAAATGATGTAACTGGGACAGTAGTTGTTCAGCTACAGATGCTAAAAGGCACTAGCTGCATATTTCACCTCCAGCAGATGTCGCCATGTCTCCTTGCCATATGAAAATGTATGAGTATGGAAATCTGTCCTCCTGGGCAAATTTGCACTTATGCAAATTTATGTAAATAGAACTTTTACAGGTAATCTATTTTCTAGATATTAAAAGCCTTTTTGATTCAGGGTTGGTTTTGTTCAAGACATGTCCCTGTTTATCTGAATCTTGTACCCCTGTAATAAAATGTTAAAATGTGAATTCTGAGCAATGTAACATGTTTTAAGGTCTTATTTCTCTCATAGGTGACTGCACGGTCACCCACAATTCGAGCTCAGTGTCTCAGACTTCAGACCTGGATACCAGAGAAGTAGAGTGGACAGAGGCCAGCGCTGTAATATTATCTGTCCCTGCCCCTAAAAGGGATCACTACAGTATTAACCTAAAGGTAGAGTAAAATGCATAACAAACAGACCACTTCTGTGCCTTATCATTCCAGCAGTAATTGCTGGAAATAATGCCCAATAATAATGCATTGCAGAAATGTTTAGTTGCGTCTTTATGTATGGCTTGCCTGTTTGTTATTCAAACACACAGCCCACATTTGCATTCATTGCCCATTCCTGCGTTCTGTTCCCTTCTGTGAAGTGCGTTGATGTAAAGCCAGAATCCTTTTGTAAGCTACAGCGTCAGGCCACTAGGTGGTGCTCAAAACAAACAAAAGATCCAGGCAACGACCAAAGTCCAACCTTGTGGGTGATAATACACTCCCTTACTTAAACCAAATGATTAAAAAGATTATTGTTTTAAAATAAATTATGCATAAAAAATAAGTTGGCACTGCACATGTACAAGCCTCAGACCTTGTGAAAATTCAGAAGATGAGCATGGCTAGTTTTCCCGCGCTTGGGAGATGTCCAAGAAGCACAGCGCTGTTACGACTGGTGTTCCTGCCCAGCTGGGGACAATCTTCCCTTCTGGTTAATTAAACCCAATGACCCAGGGTAGCGAGCGAGAGACTTTTCTGTAGGAAATGGCCTTTGCATAGGACATTAAAACCGAACTCCTGACTCATAGGGATCTCCATGGCAGTTATTGCACAGAGCTAGACTGTCGAAGCTGTTGTCTTGGCTTGCTCACGTCGGCCTTGTAATCGAAACGTCCCTTACGCTAGATTGCCTGCATAAACAATAACCCTTTTATTCTGCCTGGGTAGCTAAAGTTTTGCCTGTATCTGGGAAAGAATGAGCTTGTAGTTTAGTGTGCGTTGCTGTCTTGTTTTTTTACCCCCACACAGGTGCTTACGTGTGTATGTATCGGTACAGAGCTTTTTATGTATTTCTGTTGTAGATTGTTATCTGATTGCATATTGGCAGCCTGCTGTCTTTGTAATCTACCCTTACTGGTATGGACAGATGCCAGGACAGTGTTATAGCACAGTGCTTCTCAAACCAGTGCTCGGGGACCCCCAGGCTGTCCACGCTTTTGCCTTGGGAGTTGGGAGGAAGCAAAAACGTGGACCGTCTGGGGGGGTCCCCGAGGACCGGTTTGAGAAGCACTGTTATAACGAGTCCCATTTACCCATCAGGCAATGTAAGCCACTCATTCTTTCTGCCTGAATGTTCATTCCTCCTTCCCAGGTGGCCCAAAGTGTGCAGAGCCTGACCCAGTTACTCTACAGTCTGCAGGTGAGAAAGTCCCTCCATGCTGCTTCATTGTTGCGAACCATTTAAAGCAGTGTTTCCCAGTCCGGTCTTCGGGGATCTCCAGCCGGTCCACATTTTTGCTCGCTCCCAGCTCCCTGCCAGGCAGTCCACATTTTTGCTCCCTTTCTAGCTCCCGGTAGGAGCAAAAACATGGACTGTCTCGAGGTCCCTGGGGACCAAGTTGGGGAAACACTGATTTACAGTATCTGTCCTTCTGGTGACCAGCAGTAAAGGCTGTAATTGTCATGCGTTGCCTAATTTAGTGAAGCAGGAAGTATTAGCCCTGTAATGTAGCTCACCAAAAAGCTGGTGAAGCAAGTCGATAATAATGGGGGACGGTTAATTACCTGTTGAATTAGGGGTCTGCAATTATTGTCCTCAGGAGGAGTGGAGATTATTTTCTTAGTTTGCCATAGTTTTCGTGTCGATTGTTTGTATTGGAGGTGAGCCAGGAGTGAATGTTGTACTATTGTCAGCCAGCTCATGGACACACGCATTGGCAAAGTGAACCTTCAGCCTTATCAGCCCACTCTCTGTTTAGTTGCATAAATGAAGAAAGAAAAAAAATGTGCAAGATTCTACTTTTCTGAATATGACGGAGTACATGCCTGTGCTGAGAATGTCAGTTTCTGTCATGATCAAGGCTACTTTGCTTTTTATTTTATAATAGACATTTTTTCCATCATTACTACTCAACTGGCTTCTGCAACAGCCATATAAATATTTTTGTTCTTTTTGACATCTCAAGGCTCCTGTAGATTTAATGCAAGTTTAGATATTTGTAATTCATAGGTACCTGAGCAGCTTCCAGAGAACCTTTCCAAATCCCTGTGATCATCGCCCTCCTCTAAAGAGAACATGATATCCCCTCCAGTCACGGAAAACTTAACGTACATACTTCCCTGGAATAAAGGGAGATTTTTCCAATTTCTGGTATTTTGGACTAGCTTTAGGAAGTTATACAAATTTCCTCAGTAAGCTAAAATAAAATAGCCTTTTCATGAAAAGTTTTTATCTTATATTCTTAATATTTGTTTGTGCTCGCTTGAGTTTTTTCAAATTTATGTAGTTTCTAAAATTAAATGATTGCTTTTGAGACCACTGTTACTTATTATTATATGAAATAATAATAGATCATTATATTGTTGTATTGTAACACATGGAAGCTAGATGGATTATTATTACTATTATTGTTATTATTATTTTCATTTTCTGTGTTTAGCTAGTTGAGGCTGACCTGCTCATAAACTGCTGTTGTTAGTGCAGACGTGCATCATGTGCTTTTCAGGCGGCTGTGACCATCCAGGACAGCTGCTTCGAAGTGCAGAAGGTCCTCCTGCAGGAGAGCGGCCGGCTGCCCCGGCCCCCGTGCCCCCGTGCCAACGCCCTGCAGGAGCAGGAAAAGCAGCGCAACCTGGAGAAGCAGCGGGAGGAGCTGGCCGGCGTGCTGCGGCTGCAGGGTCAGCTGCGGCAGGAGCAGCAGCGCTGGGAGCGTGAGTGCGACCTGCGGCGCCGCCAGCAGGAGGCGCTGGAGAGCCAGTTGGAGGCACGTGAACAGGAGTGCCAACGGCAGGCACGGCGGCTGCAGCGGGAGCGCGAGGAGCTGGACGGCCAGCTGCGGGAGTACCAGCAGAGCCTGGAGAGGCTGCGCGAGGGCCAGCGGCTGGTGGGCCGTGAGCGTGAGAAGCTGGACGCCCAGCAGAGGTTGCTGCAGAGCTGGCGCCACAACCGGCAGAGGAGTCTGCCCGTCATGATGATCCCGCTGGATGGCTGCCAGGTATGTTGATGCCCATGGGGGGGGGGGACACACGAGAGGGCCTCTCCACAGCACTGGTGGGTGCCTGGCCAGCCACAAACATGGAGCTACACAGAAAGCGCACAGCTGGCCGACCAGCTGAAGCATAGGCACCCTGTTTGCAAGCCCCACGCTACGTGCCAATTGATACTTGGGCCTCATTACATGAAGTTGCCTCTCAGGTCACACTGGCAGGGTGTCCAGTCGGCACCTTGCGCTCTCTGTGTAGGTAACGGTCAGGCTGTCGAAGACGGTCGCTGTGGTGGAGCCGGGCTTCAGCGTTTTCATAGTGACCCTGATTAATCGAATTTTAAGCCTCTGAAATGCACATTAAAATTATGCTTGACTAACCTATAAATGACTAAGTTATTAATGCCAACTGAAAATGACATTAATGCATCGATGGGAATTTTAGATGGGATGGGTGATGTAGGATTTAGCAACGGAATGTCCACCCTGTGTCTCTGTGTCGTGGGGGCCGCATTCCAGGCCCTGCCTTCTCAGAGGGGGTGGGGCTGCAGAGTGGGGGCTGCGGTGGGCCTCTGATTCACAGACCGGGAAGATAGGGACAGTTTAAACACTGTCTTTAAGTTAAACCAGCCAAAGAACAAGGGGATGCTTCTGAATACACACACACACACAGACACACACACACACACAGACACACACACACACACGCAACAGAGACTCGCAGGAAGTAAAGTGCTGTGAAAACTATTGTGTGACAGAGAAGCTCACTACTGGTAAACAAACAGTGGGTTTACCTTTTCCTGTCTGTGCTTCCTTCCCTGGTTTTAAAGTCTCACACGAAATAGTACTGCTAAGTCTCTGGGAGTAATGGGAAGTAGGAGTGAAGCAGGCTGTTGGGTTGCTAACCTTGTGTTTTGACTGCTTTGTGTTGCTAAACAGAGGTCTGTGTTTTAGCCATTTATTGTGAGGAACTGAATAAAAGCAGCATCCAGGAGAAAAGACACAAAAAACTCCTTCAAGAACAATTACTGCAAAGCCTCCCAGTCACGCTGCCGTTACATATATCAATACGTAATACTTTAACGACGCTGTAATAACAGGGCTACCTTTGGCGTTTGTGTCCACCAGAGCGCACAGGCAGCGCGGCCGGCTTGCCAGCAAACCCATCGCGCTGTTTTCTTTGTGTCCTCTTTGGCCGAAATGCGTGGCAGCATTTGGCACCAGGCAGAGGAAACGAGCACGGAGGGCAGGAGACATAACGAGTGGTGACTCACACGCCTTGTTATTGCGACGCGCTCCAATTAGCGGGACGTGGCTTCGATCGACGGCGCTCTCGGACGCGACCGCGGGGCTGGGCTGGCTCCTGCCAGCCGCGAGGGCGCTGTTGTTCTGAGGGCGCAGCGGCGCAACGTGTCCGCCCACACACCAACAAGTAATTAAATTTCATATCGCCTATAAATGTCACTTTGGATAAAGACAGCCGTGTCTGTGACTGTTTTATTCAAACTTTATGAAAAAATGCACTGAGGGGATTTTAAACCATTTTTTCATTGACCTTTCTTGGAATATCTTGATAGCAAACCTGAAAATATCGAAGATGTTTTTACGAATGAGTTTGGTCCGGCCTTTGGTGCTTGTAGTTCAGTGTAGCTGTGGGCTGGCCTGCCATTGTTGCACATGGTCACATGTCCCTTCCCCCCCACAGGACTCGGCCCACGGGCAGTACTGCGGCTGCGACGGGAACGGCTCCGTGTTCGTCAATGAGGCAGCGCACCACATGACACTCAACAACCGGCACGCGCAGCAGCAGAACCAGCGCTCGGGCTCTCTGGTGTTCCCCAACGGGCCCAGCACCCAGAACAACCTGAACTCCCTCATTGGCCATCCCGCTGAGAAGCTGGGCTGTGGACAGCAGGCGGACGGCTCCCGTCACTGCGTGCTGACCCACAGCCAGAGCCACGGCACGGGGGGCGCACTGTACGCGACGACTTACTCCAGCGGGGGGGACGGCGGCCTCGGGAGGGAGCTCACCCACAATGGTATGAACCTCCAAGGACCACAGGCGGTCGGTCCAAAGGGACACAGAACCTCAGACCACTATAGTGAAGGAAGGTGGTGAGACACAAATTCAACCTGCTTCATTAACATCAGATCGATCGTTAACATCAGATCGATCGTTAACATCAGATCGATCGTTAATCAGCTTCGTTCCGTCACAGTGTTATTGAAGTAGTAGACCACGTCGTCGCTGTCTGATGAAAACCTCGTATGTCCACTTTTTGATGACTGTGACTTTTTACTGTAGATGGAATTCACTTTAATTGGAATTCGTTATGGTGTTTAACATTTTCTAAAATAGTTTCTGAGAAAATGCGTTTTTCATGCCCCTGAAACTTTGAATTTTTGGTGATTTCATCGAACAGCGATAATATGTGATTACTTTGTAATACGCAAGGTTGTAAATATAAAGTCATAATTAATATAATGGAGAATGCGGGTGGTATGGAAAGTGCAAATGGGCAAAGGACCCAGCAAGTGCAAAAAGTGATTTGTGCATATTTTTTTAAAAAAATCACGTATAAACAAACTCCAACCCGACTCGAGCCCGAGTTTGAACATAAAAAACTGACTCGTACCCGGCCTGAAACCCTAAACTCTGTCGGGGTGCGTCCTGCTTGAGCTGGGTGGCAGAGACAGCCTGGATGGGATGCCTGGTCATGGCAGGACACACATTCACACATTATGTTCACCTGTCTGCAGGAGGGACCCCACACAGACGGGCTCCGCTCGCAGTGCTTGGGGTGGGATCCTGACCCCCCAGGGCCCCCGCTAAGCCACTCAGCCCCTTGCTGCATTTCATACGTTTTAAGGAAACAATGGCTGTCCTTTACATATCTACTTTAATCAGTTTTTCTTTTAAATCTCATTCACAGATTGTGGCACTAACGCGGTATTATGTATGATCCCGAGAGACGTATGTGTGAGAATAAACATCAAGGTCATCAGTCACAGAGCCGCTCTATCCCTCTGAGTCACACACTTCTTTCCCAGTTAATCAGTGTCTCCTGACAAAACAACAGTCTCCTCTCTCGCCCTGAAAATCTATCTCGCTCTCCATCGAGCGGCGAGTCAGACAGCACTGAGCAAATCACCGTCACGGCGACCCGGCCGGCACACTGGGGCATCGATCAAAAAAAATCTTTACGAAACTCATTATGAAGCAGACCGTCATCGGCCCGTCAGAGACGCATGAATATTAAGGCGCCTTTTACCGCGGATATCCAGTAAGTCAGGTGTTATTTTTGCAGCGCTAAACACACCATATGCGTTTTTCATGTTGTAAAGTGCAGTACGCGATTTGAAATGACTGCAGAAGTAAAGGGCGAAATGAAGGATTCTGCACAGGCTTTGCTCGGACTCGGTCACTGAAGCCACTGAAGATCTCCTGCTGGCATTCAGCCCTTAGCCGCGATAGCTTCTGAGCCCTTAGCCACGATAGCTTCAGAAGTTTGAGTGTCTCGGCGAAAGTGTGTCGCATCATTTAAAGACAGAACCCCACAAATGCTGCAGCTGGCACAGTTTTCTACAAATTGACGTATTACCTTCTTTCCCCCAGTATTTATCCCTCGCAGGCCCCAGTTAAAACAGCATCACTCACTGGCCTGACAGTTAAGTTATCCCATGTAGGGAAGTCAGGCCCAGGGCTCTTTTACACTGATACTGGGTACTTACCCTCTTTGATCTCAACAGTTGACAGTTTAATTAATCAAAACCACTAGTTTTTCCTGTTTTGTAACCTAGGCCTCTCTGCAGTCAGACTGAAAACAAGCGACGTTTTGTCCAACACTGGAATGCAGCTTTCTGTTTTAGTTTTTTCACTGCAGCAGACTTGGCTGCTCGCTTGTACTGCTCGTTAAGGCCGGACAGGACAGGAGACGATCCTGATCCTGTTATCACTGGCAGGTACCTGTGGAGAGAGCTGCAGTAGGCGAACGGTATTGTTGCAGGAGGATGCCAGCTGATCTGTTGCAATCACTCAGAAACCTGAATTTCTGGAGGGTTCCTGTACAGACCGGGAGCTGCCCTCAGCACTGGCACAAGCTTTGTCTCTCGTCACTCTCGGCGTGTCCCACAGCAAACAGGCCTCTGGTTCCGCCTCTTCGTCATTTCCAATGTCGAGCCAGCCCGTGTGGTACTCTAACGAGGTGATGTGTGTAATTAATCACCCCGAGACACATTCCCGATGAGTCCCAGCAAGCTGATTATCGGCCAAATCAATTATCGCAGCCTGTAGAACGGCACCTGTGTTGAACCTCAGACGCTGTGGTCTTGGTAGAGGAGGGGGTAGCATATACCTGGCCCCCCTTCCTTTCTTCCCCCCATGCTTAAATAATGTGGTGTCACAGAAAGGGCAGGCCATGTCGTTGGCGCCGAGGGATGGAAATTGGGCATGTCAGGGTGTCCTTGTAGTGCATAACCCGAGATTCCCCGTGGTCCAGCCTGCTCTCTGGCTCTGATTAATGACTGCACTGACAGAGCTTTGCAGAGAGCATAAAATGTTTGTACATACATATATATTCATATGTTTACACCCACATGTTCTTCAGATGTCAAAGGCAAAACTTTTAGCACATCATATGTTGCCAATGCACCAAACTCACGCAACTCCCACCTCCGAACGATTCATCTACCACTTGAAATATCCACATAATCTGCATGAAGTGCTCTGACGAAGTTATTTCTGTGCCAGAGTTCAGCACCGGGGATCCCGTTCCCATTAAATTGTAGGAGGTACAGGAGGTTGTTGCCAGATTTCAAGTACAAACTTGATGGTGAATAGCCATCAGTACAAGCAGTTCCTGTGTAGGAAATATTACAAAAATGTGCATCTTTCCCCCTTCTGCTTTTGTGTTTACTGTCAGCAATGCGAGTAATGCCGAAGCCCGATATGCCTGCTGATCGGTGACACGCCTGGGCCCACAAGCCAGCGGAGAACTGCCTAATTATGCGAGTAACAATTATGCCAATAGCAGTGATTAGCTCATGTGAGGCTGATCCTAAGTTTCTGCATGCTTCAAAAAACACAGGGCACTCCAGAGAGATTAGTCTGCAGGTAATTTCGGATTTCTTGCTTAGTCAGATAACTTGTCCCAAACTACCTTAAATCCGACAAGTTATCCGGCTAAGCAGGAAATCCAGCTTCCTGATACAGGCCCCTGGTCTGTACTCCAATAGATCTGCTACATGTATACAAGGCAATGGTGCATAAATGGTGTGTGCTCTGTGATGGACTGGGATCCCTTCCTGGGTGTCCCCTGCCTCGTGCCCTGTGATGGACTGGAATCCCATCCTGAGTGTCCCCTACCTCGTGCCCTGTGATGGACTGGCATCCCATCCTGGGTGTCCCCTGCCTCGTGCCCTGTGATGGACTGGCATCCCATCCTGGGTGTCCCCTACCTTGATCCCTGTGTTTCCCAGGGCAGGTGTCCAGGCTCATGGAAACCCACCACTAGAACATGGATTATACTACAGGCCCAAAAGCATGCTTCCTGATCCCCACTGAAATGCTTTTGATTCTTTTGTCTAGTTTAATGTTCAGAACATGAAGAGCATGAAAACCCAGCAGAACATACTAATGGTCCATGCCTATACTTACTTTCCAATGCAGACCTGAACACGCTCCAGCACAACGTCAGTGGCGATCGATGGCCGGTGGAGACGCTGCTCTCGAGCCCGGACCTCTGCCACAGCTCCAGCCAGCCGGTGAGGAGTGACCTCCTCATCTCCCAGCCCTGCGTCCCTGTGGAGACTGAGAATGGGGAGGATGGGAGCGAGGAGAACATTGTGTACCTCTAAACCGCTAGATACCCAGACAGTGGACATAAATGTCACCCCACAGACTGTGAACTGCTGCTCCGTTCAGCTTTACCACACAGGTTGAATGAGATGAGCCCATGCAATGTAAGCGTGCACTTATTGGTATATCAGTATGGTAACACTTCACTGCGTAAGGCAAACAATACATGAGAGTATAAGGACTATAGGACAGTACCTGTATTTTAATATGAGTGATGCACTGCAGTGGCATTCTGAAGGATTAGAAAGCCTTTTACCAGCCTGGTCACTGGAATGGGGGAAATTTAGGGACACCTGAACCTCATGTTGGAGAACCGGGAGGAGGACTTCATCTGCACGGGGGGGGACGGACACGGACCCTCCACACAGCCGCACTGCTGGTGATTTGGGTTCCAACCCCCAGCCCAGGAGGCGCGAGGTCACTGCACTGCCCCTGATAAAATATAAAAATGAACTGTATTACACGTTCTTATGTATGTAACTAAGTGGATACAAATCATTGCACTTATATATAGTATGTATTATATATGATATCTGGTAGACCCCTAGAGTTAATTGTTACATATCTGTAAGTGTGTGTGAGATATACATATATATATATATGTATGTATGTATGTATTCGCGCAGCTCTGTGGGCTGGGACTAAGAAGGCCAGTTCAAATCCCACCATTGAGTCCTTCAGCAAGACCCTTAACCCAAATTGCTCCAGGGACTGACTGACCCCACTGTCTCCTCTACATCCTTTTCATGAGGTGGCCTCCTGGGATGCTTTTCCAGCTGTCCTGAAGGAGGTCCACATATATACTGAGCACTCACTTGCCGCTTTTCCTTCACTCTTTGCCCAAACTCTACTCCAAAACCATTTTTAGTGTGCTTAGGTCAGGTGGCCTGGTCATGTGATGTGACACTATCACTCTATTGTGGGCAGCTTGGTGTGTCCAGATTTTTGACTTGAACTGTGTGTGTGTGTGTGTGTGTGTGTGTGTGTGTGTGAGAGAGAGAGAGCCCGTGTGTGTGTGTGTGCGTGTGTGTGCCCATTTGTGTTTGCGTGTGTGTTTATGAACATATTGCAGGAATATATCTGTATTTTTGAAGGCAAGACTCACTAATATTTCTCTCCAGAAGCACATTCATATATGATTTAAACATGCATGTAATGTTGTATAGGAAGTGGGCAAACGGCATCCCTTCAGCTAGCAGACGCCTTGAGTAGCGTGTAGGTCCTGCCTGAAAGGGGTGCAGAGTGTTTTTGGGGGCGCGGTCTCTCACTACACCCCCCAGCACTCAGTCACCCCACACCCCTCACTTGGTGGTCCAGAACAAACGGCGCTTACTGGGATCATTATGGAGGGCCCCCGTCTCTCCCGCCGGCCCCCCTGCCACATTCCCCCTCAGCTACACATCGCCCCCCCCCGGAGACACTAATGCCCACAGCATCCTTTATTTCTCCCATGTTTCTTTCTTTTTCTCTTTCTTCCCAAAATCGCCACAGTGACAGAATTGGGTTGTTCAAGCTGCCCCCCCTCCCCCCTTCCTATTTATTACAGTGGGTCGAGATGATGGGAGGGCGCTGGGGGGAATAAAGGACCCGGGATCACAAGAATCGTTCAAGTGCCTGATTGCTCGGCCCGGAAAAAACAACTCAGGACCTTAGATTGGACAGGCTCTATTTATAAGACTGATGTGGTCCGGGAGGTGTGTTAGGAGTGAATGATCAGTATAAACATCTCTCAGGAGAAGTGTTACAACTTCAATTTGATCCCTCTGAACCAAAGTTTTCCTTCTTTTTTCTTTTGAGAGCTCTGTGCTTTCACTCTGCTTCAGATGTCCCACCACACCATGCCATCAGCCTTCTGAAACCATCGGAGGGATTCGGCTTCTTAACGTCACTTTGTACAATTCTGTCATGAGGAAATACACCAGTGAAGTGGTGGTCATTTTCTGATTTTGTGCGTGTGCGTTTTAGACGCCCCGATTTGATGGAATAGGAATGGTGTCATGGTCATGAATCCCCCCCGACTACCGAAGCCCAAAGAATTTGCGGGATTCCAGTATAAGTTCGATGCAGCACTGTAGAGCGCATTCAGCCGTGTGTGTCTGATACACCGTTAAGTTAGGAATTATGGAAAGCTACCTCTAGTAACATTTGTCACTGTGATACACAAGTGGCTTTTACGCACCCTGTACTTAATCATCTGTACTAATTACTTATGTATGTTTCTAAGGAGTTTTGAAAAGTTGTACCTGAAACCTTAAAAAAGGAAAGCTGGTGTCCTCCAGTGATCTTACCCGTAATTAATCTTTTGTGCACTTGGACATAATTATACCATAATTCCTCTCAAATTTATATAGAGACTTCTATATGAGTTATATGTCTGTGTATATTATCTTGTGTATCTGTGTGTAAATGTACTTGGCTATTAGAGCATGTGTATATGGTGTAAATGGCAGGATTGCTGCATATTATGTAGTATTCATGTCCTTGATAACATTGGTATAATTGTGCTTTTTTTACAATAATATTTCCAAAAACGGTCCTTGTTATTTTTTTTTTCACTATGGCAGTGTATTTAAAAAAAAAAAGAAACAAAATAGTTTGCAGCCTTTTTTTAAATTGTATTTCAAAAGGTATTTTTCTTTAATTTATTTAAAATTGATGTTCTCGTGTTATGTATATGAACAGTGTCAACATCTTCATTATTATAATTATAGTTATATAATTATATATAATTCTGAATATTGTATCATTTAAACTCTAATGTGTAATTATCTTATAAAATCAAATGTGCCTTTTTTTGAAATTTAACATCTTGTGTTCTATAAAAGCCAGAGATGTTTACAATTTTGATAATCTTAGGATGAAAACCATATTATGACTCATATTTTGACTTCACTAAGAAATGAAACCGCACTGTACCCTGAGCCCCAAGAACTAGTTGTAGCTACTGTAGTGGTAACAGTAACTAGTACTTGAGCTGGAATCATTCACCCAAACAATCAGGAAGGTGGAGAGACTATCGAAATGAAAGATACCCATGAACAGAAATTCATATACAGATGAACGTTGCACATAAGGATTGCTTTTGCATTTGCGTAGTCAAGTGTCATTGATAACAATGGTATACAGTACTTGTGCTTGTTTCCATAATCTGTTGATGCATGGTAGGATGCTTCAGTAATGCAACACCAGCCTCAGTGGGGATAATGCACAGGAACAGCAGTATCTGTGCAAGGTCTCTGGGTAGGTTGTCATTAACATGCCGAACTACACTCTTCTCGTTTCTTCTGACACAGGCGCTTAACTTCTACCTAATACTACAAAAATGAGCTTGGTCAGACAGCTCTCTGTGGATGTCTGTCCAGTGTGTCTCATAGACATAGTATATTAAAGATATCACGTCTTGAAACAGCTGAAAGATTTGCATGGTGGCTTGCTGATTCACCTGGACCCATATAAAATCTACATTTTTAATTTTCCCGTAAATGTTACGCAGCAACTGACATTTTCCTACATTGACAGTGCTATTAACATTTCCTCCTGCTTTGGCCTGATGCTTTGGTGATTTATTGAGTCATTTAGTTGATGTATTGGACATCTTGAGAGCAGTCAGCATAAAAGGATTTTGGTAATGCGGCGCTATTTAGCTGGAACAAGGTGGTGCCATCGACTTGTGCGTGAAATAATAGCCTTTTTTTTTGCGGAGTGCTAGAACAAACAACCTCTCTTCCAGGTGTCGCTATGGCAACTGCCCAGGAACTGTGAATTCAGTAAAATTGGAACAGATGTACTGCGTTCTTTTGCAAACTTTCTGACGGTAATGAGATTCTAAAAACAATGTAGCTGATGAAACTTTTTTTACAGCAGACATGGTTAATATGTGCATTTATTAGAACAGAGTTTTTGAGATGGATTTTCAGGTAGCTACTTTTATATTCATACTTCTTGATCATCACCCCTTTGTCACTCATGATTAAATTCAGCCCCTGCAGAATTTCACAGTTGCCTGTCTGGTGTAACTGCATTAGATTTCATATTTCACTTCAAATGTAAATGGGACCACAGTTCTCTTTGCTGAATGTTGTTATTAATGATAAATGTACATCATAGTATGTCAAGAAACTGAGCTAAAATGAGTGCATGATCATTACCATATGTCGAAACAGATATATACACGTGTCAGAGAACCATATCTGTTCCTGTAATGTGTTACGATTTCAGCAATCTCTCTTCTAATCATGAAATTCATCCTAAGCAAACATGTTATGTGCACAAATGACAAAACTGGCCCAACAGGATCAAGCATTCAATAAAAAACCATGTCATTCTGCCTGTTGTTAAGTACAGTTTTGATGAGGAGAGTCTATGAACCATTCTAAGGACAAGCGAGCAGAAAGTCCATTAATCAGGCTGACCCATGTCCTGGCAGTTACTAAGGCCTTAGAGTATGCTTGTAGAGTATGCTTTTAGTATGCTTAATTCATACTTTATTCATAATTCACCCCTGGAATTGGACATCTGATACCCAAACTAATCATTATACTTTCTTGTGCAGCCCCTAACACTAATGCTGCATTCAAAGTGGGCTTTGTCAGGGTTTTTAATAAATGAACTGGAGCTTCCTTGCATTTGAAACAGAATCCCAGTGTGCATACAACACCAGCCTGGGGGTGTGGCTTTCTCTGTACTTACAACAAATGTCTTAGAAAGTTATACTTGACTGAGCATTATGAATACAGATGGGAATTCTTTAAGTCCAGATGAATATGACTCTATCCATCATCAGATTTCCATGCAATTTACAGCCATGTTTGTTTAGTAAAATGGACTCTTTGTCAACATACTCGACAAGTTTTCCAACTAAAACAAAAAAGGCGAATCGCTAAACGAAAATGAGTAAATAATTAAGGTATCAGTCAGACACTGGTCCCCCCCTCGCCCACCACACACACACGCGTTTCTCCTCAGTATTACATATACGCCATTCTGCAGATGACCCACCCCCCAAAAAGCCCCCCCCCCCCCCCTGATGACAGCTCGGACATCTGCGCCATCAATTCCTACCCCTGTAAATGTGCTGCTGCTCTCATATAGCAGATAACGGGTCTTGTGGGGAAGCTGCCTACTGATTACAGATGCACCTTAAAAGGCCTCTGCTTGCTCACAGGGACCGGTGGACACGGGGGCATATCAGAGAATCTGCTTTGTGGCCTCAAGCGCAGATCCAGGAGGCGAATTCTCTTATTTCACAGGCCCCACATTACTATTGCGACCTGATTCGTCTAATACATTTTGCAGACCGATTCATTTTTGCCTTGTTGGCTTCCCGCCCCTCCTGTAATTATTCTGCAGACCTCATGGGATATGGGGCTCGCAGTGTCAATATCTTATCATTAAGAATGGGATTAGAGAATATAAACCCCCTGCTTTATACCCACTGGGCTTCCTTTAGCCTTTTTGGTTTATTTTTTATAGCTCCATTGCCCTCTTTAGTAAGTGTTCAGGGGCTGATATATGATGTATATATATATATATATATGTATAAAAGGCTCTGAGATATTTCATTGTCTCTTTTCCCATATCTGCTGTTGCACAACCACCCACCAACTGTCTGAGCCAGATGCACTTTCAAGACCCTCTAACACCGTAGTCTCAGCACCTCACGGGCGAAAAACACAAAGCCGCAGTTACATGGCAATAGTGAAGCAAATTCTACACAGTTTCTGTTCAGTATTATGATACGTTATCAGCTAATTCTTCCCAAGAAAGTTTTATCATGCAGCATGGTTGGTTGTTTTGGGCGGAAAGGCCAACAGTGAAGAGAAAAAAAAATCACCATTGTCACATTTCTACTAAGTGCACAAAATAGGAAAAAAGACCATAATTCTTTAAGTTGCACAATCGAATAGCAAATTTCCAGAACTTGCTCATTCCATTTTTTGCTGTTTTTGAGACTGGCAGTGACCTGAAGTCAGACTTCATCATATGTCACGGTGTTGGTAACCAAAACTCACACAGTGAAGAACTTTCACTGGTAACTACTAAATGTCCAAAGCCGACTTCACATTAATCTTTAGCCACAAGTTATTACTTCATTGACCAGTTTTCAAATTCCACTATAAATTAAAGGATTATATTGGGTTCAGTTTTAGGGCCACTGTTATTCCTAATTTACATTAACGATGTTGACATCAATATATACAGTAAACTGGTTAAATTTGCCGACGACATGAAGGTGGGTGGTGTAGCAGATACTGAACTAGCAGCACACAGGCTACAGCAGGACATTGATTTAATTAGCGACTGGGCTGATACCTGGCAGATGAAATTTAATACAGACAAATGTAAGGTAATCCATGCAGGGAGCAGAAATATAACAGATCTCGGTGTGTATGTTGATGCTTCCATGTCCCACTCTCGCCAGTGTGGGGAAGAAATAAAAAAGACCAATAGGATGTTGGGTTATATCTCTAGTTGTGT